CACCCCCACCCCCACCCCCGTTCCTTGGGGGAAGAAAACTTGTTCCGCTGCGGAGCTAGACGTCTGGATTGGGAAGTGGGGGCAATCAAGGCGGGGAGGTCGGACTCTTGGGTCGCTGGGCGCAGCGGGGCCTGGAGAGGCCTTCTTTCGATTCTCGGGATTTGTTTGCTGCTTTTTCTTCTCCCCGCCGGCTTAAATGGATCGCTCCGTCTCCTTCCTCCCCAGCTCCTAGGGCGCAGTGGAATGTTCCGTAGCCCCTCCGGTCCCCGGCCTTTGTTGCGGGGGACGCTCGCACGGTTGCCAGGGAAAGCCCCGGACGTGACGGCTTTGCGCGACCCCGAGCAGCCCGCCCTCCCCCTCCCCCCTCCCATCCGTCATTCCCCCGGGCGCGCTCTCCTCACACCCTTCCCCCTCCCCCTGGGTTCCAGACTTGGGAGAAGTAAACAGCAGGCGGAGCGAGGCCTCTCCCCAGGCCAGGTGGGAGTTTGTGTTCTTTAGGGGGCCTGGGCTGCTTGCTCAGGGGTCTTGCAGAACCCAGGGTTGTGCATGGCTGGGGTGATGCGTTAGGAAGATCCTGGGCCTGGGGACCAAGTCCCCGGAGCGCTGAGTTGGGGGCGGGACTTTGGGTGCGCGTTGGTGCAACGTGGTAGGGGGGTGTGTTTGTAGGAAGAGGACGGAGTAAGTTAAAAGCAGGCTGTTTTGTGACAAGGACCTGATGGGGGAAGGAGAGGGGGAGGCTTAATTGCTGGCGTCTATTTCCAGGGGAGAGGGTGTTGTCATCTTCCTCACAGGCCCTCATCGCCCCCTTCTCAGGCGGGAGCATGCTGGGGCTCGAGGGGCAGCGGCTCCCCGCGGCGTGGGTCCTGCTCCTGTTGCCTTTCCTGTTGCTGCTACTTCCCGCAGCCCCTGCGCCCCACCGCGCGTCCTACAAGCCGGTCATCGTGGTGCACGGGCTCTTCGACAGCTCGTATAGCTTCCGCCACCTGCTGGAATACATCAATGAGGTCTGGCAGGGGACACCGGGTGGAGGGCGTCAGAGGCGTCTGCAGTGGCTGTGGAGGGAGAGCCGGGAACTGAAAGCCACTCCTCTGGGCCTGCCCAGTTCCTCAGGGAACTGGTGCTGGTGTGGGGAGAGATGGGGCCCGGGATCCCTGCTTCTAGTAGGGCACAATAGGCATGTGAACGCGGGCCAGGGGTGTGGGAGCTTTTTAGCCCATCTCTAGTGTTTCCATTGCCCCTTTCCCACAGACACACCCTGGGACTGTGGTGACAGTGCTCGATCTCTTCGATGGGAGAGAGAGCTTGCGACCCCTGTGGGAACAGGTGCAAGGGTTCCGAGAGGCTGTGGTCCCCATCATGGCAAAGGCCCCTGAAGGGGTACATCTCATCTGCTACTCGCAGGGTAGGCAACTCCCCTGCCCCCAACTACTAGGTCCTGAGGCTTGATTCTTATCTGAGGGACACTTCCTGGTGTCCCTTTTTCTGAACCACATTGCTCCAGCTAGGGCCCTGGTACCTGAGCCCATCTTTTCTGACTTCCCTCAGCACCTGGGTCTTATCTCTGTTCTGTCTTGAATGGGGGATGGGCAGGGAGGCTTCCTACACTGCTGTCCCTGCTTTCCCCATTATCCATGGTACTTGGACACAAGGGCTAAAGGGACAGGTAAAAACATCTTAGAGTCAGGAGGCCCAGAATCTAATTCTGGCTCTGTCACTTAGTGACATATGACCTTTTGGCACAGGGTGTGCCTGCCTTCTCTGAGCCTCATTCCCCTTTATGTTTAATGTGTTGGGTGAGGGAGGGTGAGAGGGGTGGGCTGTTGGCTTGGCTGTCCTTAAGTGTCTGCTCAATGTGGTGTTCTGCCTACAGGGGGCCTTGTGTGCCGGGCACTGCTCTCTGTCATGGATGATCATAATGTAGATTCTTTCATCTCCCTTTCCTCTCCACAGATGGGACAGTATGGAGGTGAGTGGTCACTGGGCTCCATAGAAGGCCTTGAGATTTGGGGCCACAGAGATTTTTGGTCACTTGTCACTGCTGTTCTCTTGCCAGACACAGACTATTTGAAGTGGCTATTCCCTACCTCCATGCGGTCTAACCTCTATCGGATCTGCTATAGCCCCTGGGGCCAGGAATTCTCTATTTGTAACTACTGGCATGGTAAGTGGGGGAATGCTGAAGTGGGGCCTCATGGAGAGGGCCTGGTGTGCCCACCTGTACTATAACCAGTAGCAATAATGACAATAATGATAACTTAAATTTATTGAGGACTTACTGTTTGAATAGGCACTGCTCAGAATACTTTATGTGTGTCACCTTATTGCCTGAGAAAGTACAGTCTTATGCAGGGGTCAAGAAACCTTTTCTATAAAGGGCCAGATAGTGAATATTTCTGGCTTTGTAGACATTCAGTCAGTGTTGCAACTACCCAGTCTGCTGTTATAGTGTGAAAGCAACCATAGACCATATATAGATCAACGTGTCTGTGTTCCAGTAAAACTTTATTTACAAAAATAAGCAGCAGGCTGGATTTGGCCCATGGGTCATAGTGTGCCAATCCCTAAAATAGTGTTTCAGACCATGGGGCCAGACTACTTGAGTTTAAAGCCTGACCTTGTTGGATGTCTTTGGACATTATTTAACCTTTCTGTTGCTCAGTTTTCCTTATCTGTAAAATAATATGGCCAGGTGTGGTGACTTATTCCTATAGTCCCAGCACTTTGGGAGGCTGAGTATTGCTTGAGCCCAGGGGTTTGAGACCAGCCAGAGACCCTGTCTCCACAAAAAATAAAAAAGTTAGCTGAGGGTGGTGGCACATGGATGCAGTCCCAGTTACTTGGGAAGCTGAGGTGGATCCCCTGAGCCCAGCAGGTAAAGGCTATGGTGAGCTGTGATTGTGCCACTGCATTTCCAATCTGGGCAACAGAGTAAGACACCAACTCAAAAAAAAAAGTATATATATCTAGATAGATAGCATATACCTCCATAAAGTGATTAAGTAAATTAATGAGTGCAATGTACTTTAAACAGCACCTGGCTCATGGTAGGTGCTAGATAAAAAAGTGCTTGCTGACTGGGTGCAGTGGCTCACACCTATAAGCCCAGCACTTTTGGCGGCTGAGGTGAGAGGATTGCCTGAGCCTATGAGTTAAGACCAACCTGGACAACTTGGTGAGACCTCACCTCTACAATAAATCAAAAAATTAACTGGGTGTGGTGGCAGCTGCCTGTAGTTCCAGCTACTTGGAAGGCTGGGCGGAAGGATCTCCTGAGCCCAGAGGTTGAGGCTACGGTGACTGTGAGCATGCCACTGCACTCCAGCCTAGGCGACAGAGTAAGACTCTGACTCAAAAACAAAGTGGGTGAGACCTCATCTCTACAATAAATAAAAAAAAAAATGAGCCGGGCGTGGTAGTGTGCGCCTATAGTTCCAACTACTTGGAAGGCTGAGGCGGAAGGATCGCCGGAGCCCTGCAGGTCGAGGCTGCGGTGGCCGGGAGTGGCCAGTGCACTCCAGTCTGGGTGACAGAGTGAGACTCCGACTCAAAAAAAAAAAAAAAAAAGTGCTTGCTATGATGTTTATAATTATTATTATTTCAACTATTTTATTGCTATCCACCTTGACCATTATCACAGCCTCTTGATTGCTTTTCCAGCCTCAAGTCTTGCCTCCCTTCTCTGATGCTCTGTCTTTCTAACTGCTGTTTGTATCCAGACCCCCATCACGATGACTTGTACCTCAATGCCAGCAGCTTCCTGGCTCTGATCAATGGGGAAAGAGACCATCCCAATGCCACAGGTGAGAATCCAGGCTCCTGCTTGTGTCCCCTTTTCTGCTTCTCTGACCCCCTGTATCTCTCTCCAACCTGGCCTGACCTCTGTGACTGACTCAGGCTCTCTTCTTCCTCCTACAGTGTGGCGGAAGAACTTTCTTCGCGTGGGCCGCCTGGTGCTGATTGGGGGCCCTGATGATGGTGTTATTACTCCTTGGCAATCCAGGTAAGAGGGACTATGTGTCCTGAAGATTGGCTAAAGACATTCCAACCCTTACCAATTTTTATCTCATGCCTGAAACCAGCCTGCTCCTTCCACTGTTCAATAAATACCCACTTTCTATAAATCTTGTTATCCAAGACCAAAACCTGGAGTTACACCCCAACCCCTTGCATCTAGTCAGTAACTAAGTCCTGTTGACTCTATTTCCTTACCATTCCTACCACCACCCTTCCTTTATAAAAACATTTTTTTTTTTTTTTGAGTTGGAGTGTCAGTCTGTCACCCAGGCTGGAGTGCAGTGGCATGCTGCTGGGTTCTCGCTATCCTTCCACCTCAACCTTCCAAGTAGCCAGAACTACAGGCGTGCACTACCACGCTTGGCTAATTTTTGATTTTTGTTTGTTTTTTTTGTTGTTGTTTTTTTTGAGTTGGAGTCTCACTCTGTCACCCAGACTGGAGTGCAGTGGCTACTCCCGGCCACCGCAGCCTCGACCTGCTGGGCTCCGGTGATCCTTCTGCCTCAGCCTTCCAAGTAGTTGGAAGTACAGGCGTGCGCTACCACATCCGGCTAATTTTTTATTTTATTGTAGAGATGAGGTCTCGCCAATTTGCCCAGGCGGGTCTTGAACCCGCGGGCTCAGGCAGTCCACTCACCTCGGCCTCCCAAAGTGCTGGGATTACAGGCTGAGCCACCGAGCCCAGCCTAATTTTTGATTTATTGTAGAGACAAGGTCTCAGCAAGTTGCCCAGGCTAGTCTCAAACTCACGAGCTCAGGCAATCTACTCAATTTGACCTCAAAGTGCTGAGATTACAGGCTGAGCCACCGAGCCCGACACTTTTGTTTGTTTTTTTCTTTGGAGTCACTTTGTTGCCCATGTTGGAGTGCAGTGTCATGCTCATGGCCACCACAGCCTCGACCTGCTGGGCTTAGGCAATCCTTTGCCTCAGCCTTTCAAGTACCGGGAACTACAGGCACATGCCATCATGCCCAGCTAATTTTTTTAATTTATTGTAGAGATGAGGTCTCACCAAGTTGCCCAGGCTGGTTTCAAACCTATGGACACAGGCAATCTTCTCACTTCTGCCTCCCAAAGTGCTGGGATTATAGGCATGAGCCACTGTGCATGACTAGTTCCATACCATTTTATCACATTTCCTGCCACCTCTTTACTTATCTTGATTATTGTATCAGCCTCCAGCCTTACCCCTCCATCCTATTTCTCAGGAAAATTCATGACTTCATGGCACTATGTGCTTGTCTCTGTTGTAGGTCATCATTAGACATCTGTAATGTCATCCATGCCACTTCAGTTACTCCACAAATACTTACTGAACAGTATGGGCCCAGGTACTGTTCTGAGCCCTGGGGATGCAACAGTAAATAAAAGATAAGTCCCTAGTGTATGTAGCTTCCGTTCTGTTTAGAGAGAAAGCTAATGAATATAAACATGTATGTCAGGTGGTAATAAAATAAGACAGAGGACAAAATTAGAGAATGACCAGTAACCTGTTTCAATAGTGGTCAGGAAAATCCTCCTGGAAGAGTTGCCATTTGAACAGACTGAAAGAAATGAGGGAGGGAGTTGTGTTCTTGGGGAAGAACTTCCTAGGGAGAAGGAGTAGCACCTGCAGAGACCCTGGGGTAAGTGTGAGAATAAGGAGTGTGATGTAGCTAGAACACAAGGAGCTCAGGAGAGGCGGAAGAGGTAACAGGTACCATTTATGTCAAGCCTTTGTAGACCAAAGTAAGACCTGTGTTTTTTTTTTCTTTTTTTGTTGTGATAAAATACTCTCAACATAAAAATCACCATTTAAACTTTTTTTTTTTGAGTCGGGGTCTCACTCTATCACCCAGGCTGGAGTGTAGTGGCACAATCATAGCTCACCGCAGCCTCAATCTCCTGGGCTCAGGCAATCCTTCCACCACAGCCTTCTGAGTAACTAGGACTACAGATGTACGCCACTGGTGACACCTGGCTAATTTTTAAGTTTTTTGTTGAGATGATGTCTTGCTGTGTTGCCTAGGCTGGTCTTGAACTCCTGGACTGAAGCAATCCTGCCTTGACCTCCCAAAGTGCTGGGATTATAGGTATGAGCCACTGTGCTCAACCTTAACCATTTTTTAAATGTACAGTTTTGTGGCATTGAATACGTTCACGTTGTTGTGCAACCATCACCTATCACTACCAGCTATCTCCAGAAGTTTTTTTCTCCTGAACTGAAACTCTATGCCTACTAAACAACAACACATCATCCCTACTTCCTGGCAGTCCATGACAACCAGGACCTTTGCTTTTTTTATTCTGAGTGAGATGGGAAGGTACTGGAAGGTTTTGAGAGAAGGTGTGACATCCTATATAATAGTCAATAAAACAATAGATTTTCTCATTTCATATTTATAGTAACCCTGTGAATGATAGTGATAGCTCATGGTTATATAACATTTTTTTTTAATGTCCCAAGACAGTTTTAAGTACTTTTATTAGCTCATTTAACCCTCACAACAACCCTATGGAGAAATTACTATTATTCTCATCTTACATATAAGGAAATTTAGGTACAAAGAGATGAAATAACTTGCCTAAATTCATAGTTAGGAAGTGGTGAGGTCAGGCAATCTGGCTTTTCACCATGTTTCCCTAAATATATACTCTCAGATAAAGTACTTTTATTCAGATTTTCCCAATTGTCCTTATAAAAAAAGATACTGAGTGCAAGATCCAACTCAGGATCCCGTGTTGCATTTAGTTGTCATGTCATATCTTTTAGTCCCTTTTAATCTGGGGTAGTTCTTCAGTCTTTGTCCATGCCATTTTTTTTTTAATCGGAGTTTCACTCTGTTGCCCATGCTGGAGTGCAGTGGCACGCAACCTGCTGGGCTCAGGCAATCCAAGTAGCTGGAACCACAGACACATACCACCACGCCCAGCTAATTTTTTAATTTATTGTAGAGATGAGGTCTTGCCAAGTTGCCCAGGCTGGTCTCGAAACCCTGGGCTCAGGCAATCCTCTTGCCTCTGTCTCCCAAAGTGTTGGCATGACAGGCGTGAGCCACTGTGCCTGGCTGACATTGGTATTTTTCTTTTTTTGAGTTGGAGTCTCATTCTGTCACCCAGGCTGGAGGGCAGTGGCATGTTTCTTGCCACCACAGCCTCGACCTGCTGGGCTCAAGTGATCCTTCCTCTGCCTTCCCAGTAGCTGGCACTACAGGCACGCACCACCATGCCTGGCTAATTTTTTTTATTTATTGTAGAGATGAGGTCTCACCAAGTTGCCCAGGCTGGTCTCGAACCCGCAGGCTCAGGCAGTCCTCTCACCTTGGCCTCCCAGAGTGCTGGGATTATAGGTGTGAGCCATTGCACCTGACCCTACACATTGGTATTTTTTAAAGTTTTATTTCCAGCCAGGCTCGGTGGCTCAGCCTGTAATCTCACACCTTTGGGAGACTGAGGTGAGTGAATTGCTTGAGCCCGTGGGTTCAAGACCCGGCTGGGCAACTTGGCGAGACC